ATGTTCAACCCTGGCCTAGGGAGGCCTCTGGAGGAGGCAGGCGGTGACCCTCAGGCCTATGGCGCTCACTTGCTTGCCCGGAGTGGAGGCCCGCAGGCCGAGATGGGGTGAGAGCAGAGCGCAGGAGTGTCCTCTCGCGGGACACCTGGCCACAGTGTCTGGGCAGAGTGGGCACCCCTGGGGTGTCCAGGGCCAGCGCGTGTCTTGGGGTGCAGCTTCAGGCCTTGCCAGGGTGGGCTGATGCCCTCAGGGCGCACTCAGACCCTGGTGGTGCGGCCTGGAAGCAGGCTCATGCCCACTGGGGCCCTGGAGCCTCTGAACAGCCCCGGCAAAAAGGCTTGGAAACCTAGGGCAGCTGGCCTGGGACTCGGGCACTGAGGGTTCAATTGTGGTTTGGGGACTGGGAGGGCTGTGCAGACCCCGATAGGGGCGTGGAACCCAAGGGGGACACCCCTGAAAGGTGGGTGACCCTGTCTGAGCAGTGCCCACTGCCCAGCGCCCACCCCAGGAGAAGTGACCTGTCACACAGCAGAGGTTCTGGCCTGGACAGCCATGGGACCAGACTGTCCTCTGCCAGTGTGGCCCTAGGGGACGCCAGGCACAAGGCACACTCCCGTGGGGTGGGCACTGCACTCGGGCTTTGCCTACCAGAACGCCTGGGTCCAGAAAGCCCTGGGATCTGGAGGTGGGGAGCCATGAGGCTGCAGGGCGCAGGCCTGGGAGGTTCGGCCTGGTGAGTGGAGTGGGGAGGTTGCAACCAGAGCTGCACGCAAGCACGCACTGCAGGAGGACTGGGAGGGGCGGTCAGAGACTTAAACAGGACACCTAAGCACCGGATAGGCTCCTGGCGTTCACCGTTTCCTGGGGGACTGGCGGGGCTGAGGTCCATCAGGTCTGCTTGGAATCCACGTCGCAGGAGGTGCTGAGACCCCGAGGGAAGGTTTTATTGCCCTTTCTTTCGTTTGTTATTATTTTATTTTCCAAGTGATCTGTGGTGTGGATGTAGCCTCTTCGCAGTGCCAGGGTGGCCTGCATTGTCCCAACCTGGATTGCAGCTTCTGCTCCTTGCTGGAGCCCCCCCCATCAAGCAGAGGCTACTGCCACAGTGAGGGCCCTCTGGAAGGACAGAAGATGCCCCCAAGCTTGAGAGCTACACCCCGACTGTGACACCAACCCCAGCAGACAGAACAGCTGACAGGGACAGAGTGGGAGCTGCCTCCAGTCTGGGTCCAAGTCACCTTCCCCGTGGTGCCCCAAGGTTCTAGGTCCTATCTTCCCAAAGCCACAAGGAAAAGGTTTCCTGCCCACAACCCTGTGCAGTAAAGCTGGCCCTGGCAGGAAGCTTTGCTACCTCGGGTCCTTGAGAGCTTTGCCAGAACTAATCTGCGGCTCCAAGGAAATCACCGCGAGTCTCAGTCTTGGTGTAACAAACAAACAGGTCCCAGAGTCACAGGCCATTTTCTAAGTTGCTAGACTAGAGAGGGGAAAGAAAAGGACAAAACAATGCAAAAGCTTTTCATGGTCAAAGAAAATGGGGGGGGGGCAGGGAGAGGAGCACAGAAGCACCTTAAACTTGTTTGCTAGAAGAGAAAGGGAGACCGGATCTGGTCAGATGCCTGCACTTCTACTCCTGCGCAATCCTGCTGCATTTCCACCCCAGACGAAACCACCGTCCATGTAATCAGGGAATATTTCAAAGTATTTCTTAAAACTGCAAGTGAATTTAGATGGTTCTTTTAGCAACTCTTCTGCTGCCCAAATTCAGCTTCCAGGACGTCCTCGCCGTGCAACAGCCACTGAACTGTTGAGGGAGAAGCAGCGATGAGTTTTTAAAAGATAGCTAAGTTCGAATTAAATGCATCTTTAATGGACCATTTTATTTCTTGCAGGACAGCTGTAATCTTCCAACAAAATATAAAATCAACATTTACATAAAACCTGCAAAATCCTCAGCACAGAAAAGAAGTTATACCTCCCCAACACAATACACTCTGTTTTTTAGTCTTTTCAGATAGAAAGTCACCAACGCCAGAGCACTGCCCCAGGGAGGACGAGGGGAGGACGGAGGAGGCAAGAGTGATAGATAAACTTTCAGATCACAGTACGATTCCCGCGTTTCGTCTGCTAAAACCTGAAAACGCAAATCAGTCATGTGTTTACAGTAGTGTTTCTACTTAACTCTTTCTTCTTCAATTACAGCTTTCTCAAATTCAATTAAAATGCAGTTGTTTGGAAGGTGCGGACAAGAGGACGTTTTCTGTAACTTTCTTCTAAAATCTGCTACCAGACAATTTTTCCCCCCTTTCCTGGGCAACAACTGCTCCCTTAGGCACGTTTCTGGCTTCTCGGTGTGCTCACACGAAGGCACCTCGCCAGGGGGTTTATAAATCAATCAATAGGGAGTCTATATTCCTAAAGGCTTCTGATCTGGTTACACCTCCTCCGGGTTCCCTCCTCTGAAAAAAAGTTGAATCCGTGGGCCCAGATTCCAAGCGTGGCCGCCGCCGGCGGGGCGTCGCGGATCAGGATGTGGATTGCAGCGCGGACCTTTGTTCGGGGCTTCGGGCCGGCTGGGGGCAGGGGCGTCCTCTTTCGGATCACCCTCGAGTTTTACAGACTCGCCTTAAAAGGGCTCGCGCTCTCCGCAGGGCTCATTTATAGGGCTTTCCAGGAATATTGGGACTTTTAAGACACTTTTCCCCCATTCATTTTCTTTGCTGCCCTCTTAAGAGGATCCCCGGGTTTTGGCATCTCGCAGGAAGAGGGTGGGGGCAGGAGAAAGCAGGCCTGAGAGAAGCAGCTTCGTTCTAATCGAGCCGCCCACAGGACCGAGTCTCCCAGCATGTTTCTAAAAATTAGTTCATAATGGAGATTAAAACTCAGGAACTGGGAGGAAACTGAGACGAACGTGCGCTGTCTGTGGCTTCCTCAGGTCAACGTGAGCTCGGTATTTGGAGCCTGAAGAAAGTGGGGCCTTGGGAATTTTTAAAGTTGTTTGAAAAATAAAAATGAAATGAGCTAGAGAGTCCGAGGCGCGGCGTGACAGGTGGGGAACAGGGAGGGAGGGAGGCAGCCCTCGGCCCGAGGGGTGCGGCCAGGCCTCTGGGCGGCCCAGTGCCGGGGGCCCTCCAGCTCGCCACCCTG